CCCCTTTGTTATTATTTTGCTTTTATTGTAATTGTTTTTGGTGTTTCTGTCATGAAATCTTTGCCCATTTCTATGTCATAAATGGTATTGCCTAGACATTCTTATAGGGTGTTTATAGTTTTGGGTTTAACATTTAAGTATTTAATCAATCTAGAGTTAATTTTTGTATAAGGTGTAAGGAAGGGGTCCAGTTTCAATTTTCTGCATATGGTTAGCCAGTTCCCCAGCACCATTTATTAAACAGGGAATCCTTTCCCTATTGCTTGTTTTTGTTAGGTTTGTCAAAGATCAGATAGTTGTAGATATGCAGTCTTATTTCTGAGTTCTCTATTCTGTTCCATTGGTCTATAGGTCCATTTTTGTACAAGTACCATGGTGTTTTGGTTACTGTACCTTTGTAGTACAGTTTGAAGTCGAGTAGTATGATGCCTCCAGTTTTGTTCTTTTTGCTTAGGACTGTCTTAGATATTTGGGCTCTTTTTTGGTTCCATATAAATTTTTTAAATAGGTTCTTCCAATTCTGTGAAGAATGTCAATGGTAGTTTAATGAGAATACCCTCGAATCTATAAATTGCTTTGGTCAGTATGGCCGTTTTCACAATATTGATTCTTCCTATCAATGAGCATGGAATGTTTTTCCATTTGTTTGTGTCCTCTCTAACTTCCTTGTGCAGTGGGTTGTAGCTCTCCTTGAAGTGTTCCTTCACTTCCCTTGTTAGCTGTATTCCTAGGTATTTTATTCTTTTTGTAACAATTGTAAATGGGAGTTCACTTATGATTAGTTCCTCTGCATGCCCGTTGTTGGAATATAGAAATGCTAGTGATTTTTGCAAATTGATTTTGTATCCTGAGATTTGCTAAAGTTGTTTATCAGCTTAAGAAGCTTTTGGGCTGAGATTATGGGGTTTTCTACATATAGGATCAAGTCATCTGCAAAGAAAGAAAATTTGACTTTTTCTCTTCCTATTTAGTACCATTTATTTTTTTCTCTTCCCTGACCACTCTGGCCAGAACTTCCAATAATATGCTGAATAAGAGTGGTGAGAGAGAGCATCTTTGTCTTGTGTTTATTTTCAAGTGGAATGCTTCCAGCTTTTTTCCATTCAGCATGATATTGGCTGTAGGTTTCTAATAGTATTCTCTTATTATTTTGTGGCATGCTCCTTCAGTATCCAGCTTATTGAGAGTTTTTAACATGAAGGGATGTTGAATTTTATCAAATACCTTTTCTGCATCTATTATCATGTGTTTTTTGTCTTTATTTCTGTTTATGTGATGAATCACATTTATTGATTTGCACATGGGGATGAAACCAACTTGATTGTGGTCGATAAGCTTTTTGATGTACTGGTGAATTGAGTTTACCAGTTTTTACTGAGGGATGCTTTTGTTTATGTTCACCAGGGATACTGAACTGAAGTTATTTGTTGTTATTATATCTCTCCCAGGTTTTGGTATCAGGATGAATCTAGCCCCATAAAATGAGATAGGGAGGAGTCTCTCCTTTTCAATTTTATGGAATAGTTTCAGTAGAAATGGCACCAGCTCTTCCTTGTACCTCTGGTAGAATTCAGTTGTGAATCTATCTGGTCCTGGGCTTGTTTTTGGTTGGTAGGCTATTACTGCCTCAATTTCAGAACTCATTACTGGTCTATTAGGGGTTAAATTTCTTCCTTGTTGTCATGGGACAGTGTATGCTCCAGGAATTTATCCATTATTCTAGATATTCTAGTTTAAGTGCACAGAGGTGTTTATAGTATTCTCTGATGATTGTTATTTCTGTGGGGTAAGTGGGATGTCCCCATTATCATTTCTGATTGTGTCTATTGTCTATTTGATTATTTTCTCTTCCATCTAGCTAGTGGTTTATTTATTTTCAAAAAATCAGCCCCTGGTTTTATTGAGGGTTTCATGTCTCTATATCCTTTAGTTCTGCTCTGATTTGGTTATTTCATGTATTCTAGCTTTGTGTTTGCTCTTGGTTCTGTAGTTCTTTCTGTCGTGATGTTAGGTAGTTAATTTGAGCTCTTTCCAGCCTTTTGATGTGGACATTTAGTACTATAAATTTCCCTCAACACTGTTTTAGCTGAGTCTCAGAGATTCCAGTACTTTGTCTCTTTGTTCTCATTAGTTTCAAATAACTTCTTGATTTCTGCCTTAATTTCATCACTTATCCTGGAGTCATTCAAGAGCAGTTTGTTCAATTTCCATGTAGTTGTGTGATTTTGAGTGAATTTCTTAATCTTGAGTTCTAATTTGATTGTGCTGTGGTCTGAGGACTGTTTGTTATGATTTCAGGTTTTGTTTCTTTCTTTTTCTTGTCTTTTTTTCTTTCCTTTTTTTTTTTTTTTGCACTTCCTGAGGAGTGCTTACTTCCAACTGTGTGATCAATTTTAAAGTAAAGGCCAAGCGGCAATAAAAAGAATGCATATTCTGTTGTTTTTTGGAGAAGAGTTCCAAAGATACCTATCAGGTCTACTTGATACAGGGCTGAGTTCAAGTCCTAAATATTTCTGTTAACTGCCTTGATAATCTGTGTAATATATCACAGGGGTATTAAAGTCTCCCACTATTATTGTGTGGGAGTCTAAGTCTTTTTGAAGGTCTCTAATAACTTGCTTTATGACTCTGGATGCTTCTGTATTGGGTGCATATATACGTAGGATAGTTAGCTCTCCTTGTTGAATTAAATCCTTATCAATTTTGTAATGCCCTTCTTTGCCTTTTATCTTTTTGGTTTTGGGTTTTGTTTTGTTACATGTATTTGTCAGAAACGAGGATTGCAACCCCTGATTTTTTTCTGTTTTCTGTTTTCCTCCATCCTTTTGAGTCTATGTGTGTCTTTGCAGATGAGATGGGTCTTTTAAAGCCTGCAGGCCAATGGGTCTTGACTATCCAGCTTCCCATTCTGTGTCATTTAGTTGAGGAATTTATTCTATTTACATTTAAGTTTAATATTGTTATGTGTAAATTTGATCTTGTCATTATGATGCTAGTTGGTTATCTGGCATATTGTTTATGTGGTTGATTCATAGTGTAACTGGTCTTTGTATTTAAATGTGTTTTTGTAGTGGCTGGTACTGGTTTTTCCTTTCCATATTTAGTGCTTCCTTCAGGGGCTCTTGCAAGGAAGGCCTGGTGGTGATGAATTATTTTACTCATTTGAAAGAGAGCTTATTTCTTGTTTGCTTGTGAAATTCTGGGTTGGAAATTCTTTTTTTTAAAGAATGTTAAATATTAGGGCTCAAGCTCTTTTGGCTTGTAGGGTTTCCATGGAGAGGTCTTCTGTTAGTCTGATGAGTTTTCTTCTGTAGGTGACCTGGCCTTGTCTCTCTGGGTACCCTTAACATTTTATCTTTCATTTCAACCTCAGAGAATCAGATGGTATGTGGCTGTGGTTGATCTTCCAGTGGAGTATATTACTTGGGTTCTCTGTATCTCCTAAATTTGAATGTTGGTGTTTCTTGCTAGGATGGACAAATTCTACTGGATAACATCCTGAAGTGTGTTTTCCAACTCGGTTCATTTTCCTCATCTCGGTTCATTCTCCCCATCTCTTTCTGGTACCCCAATCAGTTGGAGACTTGGTATTTCTGGTTCTAGATCCTTGAGGAATCACCACACTATTTTTTACAATGTTTTAACTAGTTTACATTCCCTTCAACAGTTTAAAAGCATTCCTATTTCTCCACAGCCTCACCAGCATCTGTTGTTTCTTCTACTTTTCCTCTACTGTGCTCCCATTACTATTTTGTATGTACTTTATTAAAGCACTTATCACATTCTGCCTGGTCATATATTCACTTGGGTACATTTTTGTTCTTCACACTTAGGGAGACTTAAATGTCATATTTATTTTTGCATTTCCTGTATCATCTAGCATAATGTTCCTTCTACTACACCACAAAGCATATTCGTACTAAGGTTAATATCCCAACACAATCCCTTGTCTATTTTTCTAATGTTTAAAAGTTAATGACAAATACCTGGTTTAGTTATTCTGACAATGATCAGGATGCTGGACTTACTTTGCAATGTATTCTACAAACTGGTACAAATTGGCTAGTACTCTTGAGATAATTAGCATATATTAACTATAAGCAATTACTTTTGTCATAAAATATGTTCTATTTCAAATGGTAGCGTAAAAACTTTAGGGATCTATAAGCCACATGGTGACAAGTGTTGAGTTTTTATTTTAAAACTTAAAATTTAAAAATCTTAAATGTAAGAAATGAGTTTTCAAGCCTGGATCAACTATTTCTTTCCCAAAATAAATAAGGCCAATTATGCTGAAACATCACTAATATGGCAGCTACTAGACACATGTGGCTATTAAGTTCATATTCACATGGCTATAAGTATAAAATACACCCTACATTTTGAAGACTCAATATGAAAAAATATAGAATATCTAATATTTTATATTGATTAGTTGTTGAAGTAATATTTTGGTATATCAGATTAAACGACATATATTAAATTTAATTTTACTTAAAAACATTTTAATGTGGCTACTAGAAATTTTAAAATATGTATTTGCATTGCATCATATTTCTGTTAGACCATTCTAAGCCATCAGTAATGAATATCCAGGTGCTACAGATACATAGTACATTCATTCTCTAAGAATAAGTTAGCATTAGAAAAATTGCCTACATAATCAAGTCAATTTATGTGCTAAAAGAAAATGAGATGGACATATATGGTAAATCTAGAAATAAACTTTAATTGGCTTTAAATATATACTGTTCCCCAAATTTAAATTTTTGGTTTTGGTTAATACAAGAACTATTCCCTGCACATACATAAATTGATCAGAAAGAAGGGTGGCCCAGAAACATAACAAAATCAAAAGTTATCTTTTGTACCTTGTTCAATTCACTCATAGATTACATATGACACCATTAGATACTCTGCAAATAAACACTAAGCTATAACTTAAGGATTTTAGCAATTTAATATGAATGCAACAAAACAAAACATATTATAATTTATACCTTTGCTTCGTCTGAAATATTGTCCCAGTTTCCACCACTCAAAGAGAACTTTCCATTGCCTATACGCAGCAATATCTCTTCAGGAGTATCATTGGGGCCATTAGCAAATGGAGTGTAGCTATTAATAAAATAGATTTTAATAGACACTACAGGCTAACATATCCAATAATGAAAGAGATACAAATATTTACTACATGCAAATATTTACTTCAGCGAGTAAGACTATCATCTTGCATTTGCTTTCGCTGTTAATGTCAAATTTTATATTTCAAAGCATATATTTAACCCTAATAAATTCTTTAATAAAACAGAGAATCTTGCCTACATCAATAGTTTTTCATCTTTGATCAGCTAATCAATGTAAAATAAAATAAAGGTGTCTTTTCATACAAAGCTTCAGTCTTAAAACTAGATAACACTAAAAAATACATGTTTTCTATTATTCTAGGTATAGGTTAGCAAACAAATACACCTAGTATGAAGAAAATGTTAATTTCATATATTCATAATGCATTTATTGCCTTGTTTTGATTTATTCATTAACATTTCATCATTAGTATCAGTGGAAATGGTTATCAATATATTTATTAATATTTATGAAAACTTGGTTAAATATTTATATCAACATAAAACTCCATAGTCATTACATTTATTAGGTAGATCAATCATACAGATTAATTGCATTTAATATGCAAACTTTAGCTACCTTAACTTCAGTCTTTACTGTGCTCTATAATATTTTGCATAAATTTGTAATATCTAAAAGTATATGAAATACACTGACATATGCAATTATCATCAAGCCATTAAACAATTTAGAGTCAACATTTTTATCACACATTTACAGAGCTCTTGGTATATCAAGCATATTTAAGTTATACTAAATGTACTCTTTAAAATAGTATGTCTAAGTACACTATAATTACTTTCTAAACTTCGCCATTTTCTCTATCACAACTCTCTTAGAACAATTTCTACAGCCATAAGTGTTCACTTCTAAATAAAAGTACTACTCAATATTAAGAGTAAAATAGTACTTTTATTATTTGTAAAGTATCAACATTAACATAGTCCAATTGTTTTACATTTGTTTTGAGCTTTTCTTTATCCTTTCAAAGGACGGTAGCTGTGTGTGTTTCTGCAGTTTAGTATTGTTACTATTTAGATTTGCACAATCTTACTAAATCTCTAGTGCCAAAATAGTTATGTTACATGGGTATACACATGCCATGCAGCAAACCACCACCTTGGCACATGTATACCTATGTAACAAACCTTCAGGATCCACACATGTACCCCAGAACTTAAAGTATAATAAATACATTTTTAAAATATCAACTCAATGTCAACAAGTTCAGTGGGCAAATTGTTGGTGAACATGCAATTATTTTATGATTAAATAGTTTCAAGGTCAAAAGAGAAATGCAATTTATTTCTAAAAGTTTTAGTTCTGGTTGACAACTGCCTTTTAAAATTATTATATCTTAACTGTGCCTCATTATACACCTTGCTTTATGTTTTTTTAATTTTATAAGTAACAGCATTAATATTTTGAAATGTAAATGGCATTTTTCTTAAAGACATTTTTATCTATTCCATTTCTAGATGAAGATATACAGATGAAATTCAAAGAACAACACTAATGCTTTTGAATATATAAGTTTCTTACCCAGCCAACATTGTGTAAAAAAGGACTCCTAAACTCCAAATATCACAAGCAGCATCATATCCCTGTTGCATAAGAACCTAAGAAAGAAATATTCATTATATGGTGTTACTAGATATAAACCAAATTTTCTCCCAAATAATTTGTTTTACTTCTAATAATCTCATAAAAGTTCATAATATAAAAACTTCAAACATTTTATGCACTTGTAGTAAAGACATAATCCCTAACACCTCAATGAGCTTTCTCTCCTCCTCTTAGGAAACCAAATATAGAGAAATCTAAACTTAAGATTAGTATGCACAGAGATTTTAATGTATACCATACACAGTACTGAGGCTTTTAATTATGTCACTGATTCTATAAGGTAAATAATATTCCAATTTTGAAGATGAGGAAACTAAAATGAATATTAAGTAACTTACCCAACATTACAAAACTAATAAGTAGAACAGGAAATATTAATAGAGCCTGTTTTTAATATCTACAACTGCCTCTTTACTATATAAGATATGGCAAGATAATATATGATCTCACAAAAGCGGAATGAATTTATATTTTACCATACAAGGCCAATGCCTTGAAAAGAGCAGTATACTTCTAGACCACAAGTACACATTTAATATATGCTGAATGCTTCATTAATTTTTCACACAACAATTTAGGAAGCTGGTTTTTGGGGTCAGTGTTAATACAAATCAAAAATGTTTGTTACATATTCATGTGAGATTTAGCTACAAAGTTAATAGAGTTCGTTAGAAAAATAAAGAGATGAAACGAGGCCATTTTCTTTTAATTCAGAAAAACAAGCCCACTGCTAAAGCCCCTAGGCATAGGAATAAAATAGAAACGTTATTAATGCATTAAGGCAGGGTATTACATAACCACAAGCATGAACTTCTCATCTATAAAAGGCTAAAAATATTAGTGTTTGGCTTTGACAACTGCCAAACATGAATAATGAGTATGTAACTAACTTAAAATTTGAAATGTGCTTTTTTCCTAGTCTTAGTGTATTTATAAAAATACACATATGTACAAAACTAAGGGAGTAAAGAGCATATCAAAATACATAATTGTTTTAAGGAAATAATACAAGTAGGGAACTATAAAATACTTAACAAATAACAACATATAGCTAAACCACTCACATCATTGTAAACATTAAGTTGGCATACTCTTCTACTGATTTTATTCCCTTATCTCTTTATTTTTCTCATCACATCTTACAGTTCCAGGTATCATCATATTTTCCCTGATTCCCTTATGAAGCTTTTTAAAGCTTCCCAAATGATTCAATGTATAGCTAAGGTTGAGGGCCATTGCTTAGAAATGAGTTGGACAGGGGAGAGTTAATCAGCAAGTCGGCTATAGGTACATATACGCCTACAACCTTCCTAGTTATGAGGATACACTTACGCAGGTGTCATCACATTGCTTAATTAGGGCCACACATGAAAAGCCTGTTTTAGATAAAGAAGAAACAGTCCACTTTTTTTTTCCTAGAGTTAGTCTTAATGCCCTTATAAAAGTGAGCATATAATCGTAAAAGAAACAATGCAGAATGGTAGAATGAATGAAAGTACAGAGGGTGTGTTTCACACCTTTTTACTTGCATCAAATACAAAGATAGAAGTCACAATTAAAATAATCAATGCCATAACTCTCTGTCTCATTTGGCTTCCCAAATCAGCAGCAAGTAACATACACAGAGCTCCTCATTCCTGTTGCTCAAATCAATTAACATTTGGGGCAAACCATATGACAGCCCAGAGAAAGAGCAGAGCAGAGTTAACTTCAAAATTAGTTTATAAAAAGCTGCAGACACAATATCCCTCAACTTTTTTGTAAGCTCCATTAATTCAGGAACATTCTTTAACCTCAATAGGCTTATAATATTAGTTGAAAAATACAACAGAGTGGAATTGCCATTAACAAAGAATAAAATATTTTAGAGATATATTCACTTTTGCAGCATAGGTATAATAGAAAAGCACATCTACCTAATAAATCCTAAGAGGTTGATCAAACTGATGCATACTTTAAAAACTAAAAGAATATTCTTTCCTTATTGTTAAGCTAAAATTGCAATAATCAGTGTAGTTCTTAGCAAAAAAGAACTCTTTATGCACTGTGAAATAGTGAATGTATACTCCACAAAATGCCATTTTTTACTGAAAGGCCTGCACCAATACTTGAATCTTTCCAATTCTAGTTTAAAAAAGAATGCATTTTTATATTTTACTAATACTTTTTGAAATTTTAGAAACAAACCTCCCTAAAAGTACTCTCTGGTTCATTAATGACAATTTACAAATAAATTATTGATTTCTAGAATAGGCTTTATCACTCAAAAATAAAACTTTCCAAGTATTTTGAAAATACAAATATTAGTCAAAGACAGTTTAAGCACTAGTTACAGAGAAGTGGTCTCCACATGCCCACCTGAAAACCTTCACTATTACAATAGTAAAAGTGTCTTACTACAGTGTACAGCTGTTGGGGAAAAAAAACATCAATGGGCTGTATTCTACTTTCTGGGATTGCTTACCTAACCATTAATTTAAAACTGTTTACCTAACCATTAACCTAAACACAGACATGTTATATATTTTTCACTTTAATGTCTGTTTTTGAGAAGTTCGTGTGGGACATATTCAGTTCTAACTTTTTTCCAGTGAGAAGTTTCCATAATACTAAGCAGTTTAGGTCTACAAGATTAAGTCAATATTAAAAATTTGACTATTAAAATGCTGATTTTATACTCTGCTCTTATGTCTACTGCATAAATCTATTACAATATTTATGATGATCTCTATGATGATTATATATGCTATACATAACAGAAGAGCACTATCTCAAATATTCTGTCCTCTTATCCTATAAAACTACTGAAGTGGCATTGATAACTGCTGAAGCCTGCAGCCATCAGCCCAAAAGTCTGTTCTGATGGTACTGAGTTTTCATTGCTCTGGATGCGTAAGTTGTGTGTCAGGTACAGCTGGGCCCAGCCAGCTTGAGTCACTCTTGTACAAGATACTTTTTTCTGTCTTGTGAATGCACTTGATAATTTAAAAATAAAAATACTTGTTTCTCAAAACAAAACAAAACCAAAAAAACACCTACTGCAATATCCTAAAAAAGGCTAGTATTTTTTTTATGTCCAGGCTATTATCTCATACATCTTAGGGCAGTACAATTTCTTGTAACAGATAAAAACTTGTATATTATTCTATGAATTTTATTAAAATGCAGATTAAATAACATTATCTGGATATATACATAATTTCTTTTTAGGCAAATATCTTATCATATAAAGCCTATAAAACAGAAGTTCTGCCTGTTCTTCAATGTCAGTATAGTATTTTCTATATTTCTATTTTCATTATTAGGAAAGTTATTTTTATAGTAGCTGCTTTAAAACATAGATTGATTTATATTAAAGTACAAATGATTTATTATCAATATATATGATGTGCAATATTTCCCTGAAAAAGCTAACATTTGATATGAGTAAAATCATAAAATATATAGAAGATAGGAATTCTTCTCAAATTATTTTACTCTGCTTCTCCTTTGATTTGACATAGGTTTTTCAAATCTGAGGAGTTTCAGGTATTTTGATTTTTGTTGAATATGCAATAACATGTCAGTTAGCATTATCCATAACATATAAGAACAGTTACTGACTTAACAAAGAAAGCCCATAAAGAACTTACATGGTCAATGCCATCTCTTGATTCATTTTTCACCAATTTCACTTTCACTGCTATGGAAATTGCCACTGTCAAAGCTCCCATCCCCATGGTTAGAATGAAAGTTACAGTTTCCCAAATGTGAAATCTGTACCAGAGCCTCCCCTTTCCTGACTCTTCTCCCTAAGAGCATCACCTTTCTTGACATTTAACCCTATGATTTAGGTTTAAATATTATTTTCCAAGAAAAATCCCTATGGCTTACAAAAACCCCTGTAAGCCTATTTTCTCTGGGAGTTATAAGTTCCTAAAGACAATCGAGGATGGCACTGACATTATATGTTATTTATAATGCTCATTGATATAAATTACCTAATATTCAGTACAATTTAACATACCGGATGAATCTATCCTATCTTTGTTATTAAGTGAATGCTGGGTCTTGAATAAATCATTGAAGTACCTCGAGCCACAGTTTCCTCACTTAGAATACATAATATGGTAAATATCTTTACCATACCTCCCAACTCTAAAATGGTATGATTCTGAAATTAGTATATAACCCAACAGAATAGAATAGCCTGATTATTACATTCTGGTTGGCTTTAGATGCTAGTTACCAGTGTGAATATTTATATTAGGGGCTATGAGAATTCACTGATTTAAATAACTTTATAACTGAAAAAGGACAAGATAATAGCTTTTATCTGTCTACCATAACATACACATGGTATCATATAGATTCAACTAAAGGAAAAGAATGAAAGGCAAATGCTGAAGTTTTTAAGGAATACCTCAGGTGCAACAAAGTTTGCAGTGTAGCATGGAGTTAAGAGAAGTCCATTTTCTCCTCGAAGTTGTTTTGCAAACCCAAAATCACATATCCTGATTGAATCTGCACTGGCTGATTCATCCATGTATAAAATATTACTAGGTTTAAGATCACGATGAACAACCTTGAATATAAAGGAAAAAAGCATTATATCTATATAGTAAACTAAATATCTGAGAAATAAAACATTTCATTATATTTCCAGAAAAAGAAACTTCCCAAATTACAAAATTTTAAAAATGAAATTTTGCTTAAGCTTAAGAGCCTAAAATATACATAAGAAAGTATCTCTGTCAGATAGATGCTCCAGTTTCTATTCAAGCCACCAGTTTTTTGTTAACCTTTTCTAATCTCAATATATCTAGGCTCAATTCTCAGATCCAATTTTGGATATGCAATAATTTATATCACTTAGCATTACACATGACATATAAGAACAGCTCCTGACTTACAAACTAAACTAAGTTTGGACTGAGTCCATAATGGACTAAGGCCCTACTCAACACCCGCCTTCTTACAGTAAACAAACATAAAACCTGGATATAATACAAAAATCAACTATATGAAGGTGCTGGAGAATGAACAGAAGCAGATATACTCTGATAAGGAGTATATACTTTGTTAAAGGAGGAAACACAGGACACTATACAAGGAGGTTTCCATATCTGTGGCTTTTAGCCTGGGGTTAAGTGCAGTGCCTATGGCACACAGTGGTGGTAAAGACATGTGGAAAAACCCAGTCCTTCTGGCTTAGAGGACTAGATAGGAGATGCTGGAAAACTGAATGCTGAGTAGAGGAATATTATAAAGGAAAGAGCCGGAACTGACCCTTGAATCAAAATATGTGGAACAGGATCAAAACAGTTTGTATAAAGTCAAATAATAGGAACAAAAACCAGAGCTGCTGCCCCCAAAACTAGTTTTCAGTTCAAGCCCAGCCAAGAAAATTGACCACTTAAAACAAATGAAACAATAATAACCATTGGAGAAAAATAATGGAATACAAAAATCTCTATAACTGATTATCATAATGCTTAGGATGTAATTCAGCATTATTTGATATACAAAGAACCAAGAAAATGGAACACAGTCTTAAGAAAATCAATAAATTCTGATTCCAAGATGAACCAAACTAAAACTAACAGATAAGGATTTTAAAGTGACTATCATAATGATCCTCAATAAAGTAAAACAGAACATGCTTTAAATGCATTAAATTCTCAGGAAAAAAAAAAGGGAAGTCTAGCAGAAAAACAGAAACAATAAAGAAGAACCAAATAAAATACATAACTGGAAAAAATGCTAAAGTTCCCCCAAGTGATATGTTGCCTGCTAGTACTATCTACTTCATGTAAGTTACCCTCACTTTTAGTCAGTTTACTATGCTAAAGCTCTTTAAGGACGGGAATCAGGTCTCACTCATGTTTGAATCTACACCACCTTTTACAATGCCTGGCATGTAGAAATTCTCAATATGTGTCTTATTAATTTAGTTAATTGATGTGAAGGTTTATAAATAATAAAGAAGAGATGCCTATGATTCTTTTCTCAAAAATTTTTGTCATGCTTTACTTTATAGAGTATTGGGTGTTGGTAAAGACAATCAAAGAATTAAATTATTAAAAAGATACTGCTTTAGCATTATATATTTCAAAGTACTGACAATCCACTTTATTAAACCACACACATAACTGAGTACCAGTTTATTTTTTATTTATTATAAGAGGGGCTCATGTAGAGTTTTTATTGTGTCAATTCTAAATTGTCATTTTTAATTTGCTTATTAAGTTGGTATATATCCAATATTACAATTGATTCAAATTTAAATTTTTGAATTACTTGCTATTTTGTTTCTTTATGTAGCTATATATACTAAAAGCTGCCTTTTCTGTAACTCAGTTCATTTGTCTTCTTTATGAAAGGACAGGAAGCAAAATAATAAGTCTTTCCCTTAACCACAAAATTTAATATAGTAATACTTCAAATGTTTAGAATACACATTTCGTACTATATTTAGGGGAGGAGCTGGCAAGGTTCAATATATATGTTAGATAACTTGAACTTTATATATTAGGTAACTTGAATAATAGTCATCATATGTCTTTGGTTAATCCTTTTATGCTTAACTTTTAAGTCTAAACAAGTTTCATAATTTCAAAGTCAAAGTTAGGTATATTTATATAATTCAAACCACTTTTAAAATGAATATGCTATTAAATCAGGCCCAACGGGCAGACAGAAAATAATCATTTCCTAAATCCATAATTTTCACTACATTTGTGAGTTCTATTAGGATATTCTCTATTAAAATATATATGAATAAAAGCAATTTATCTTAGGTATATCATCTCCTATATTTTTATGAAGATATAGGTCCCAGAATAGAAAGAAAAAATTTAATTACAACTTACTCCTTGACAATGAAGATAGTCAACTGTCTTACTTATTACATACAGTATATCACTAGCCTCCCGTTCGGAGAAACATTTTTGTTTGAGAATACGATCAAGTAACTCTCCTCCTTTCATTAAATCCGTAACAAGGTAAACATATCTACCATCATCAAAGACCTACAAAAGAATGCAGTATTAAAATATTATTATTTATAATTACAATTCTATAATGCTTAAATTATATTTTAATTATATTTACTTTTCTACTAAACCTCCCTCCAGCATTAAAAAAAATTCCTTTATTGTTAATGCACTACAGGCTGTAGTAAAAGTTGAATTGGCTAAAAAACCACCTTCACAGTCCCATGAAACCATATGAAACACATAATTTTATTATCTTTTGAAATTATAGGTTGCAGTTCATTAAAGAATATAAATTAAAAAACAGAACTCTATGCCTCTCAAATGACATCTATCTCATTTTTTACTGTATTATAGCTACTTCTCTTCCCTAAACGTAGGCTTCTTTCTGAAAGTAAATATATCATTTATTTTGTATACCCTTCCCTCAGTCCATTATCTGATGTGGTATCTTAAATATTTGTTGAACTCCAATCAAGGAAAATAAATAATAAAAGTATTTATGCACTTTTCACTCTGGGCATGTAAGACACACACACACACACACACACACACAGTAGTTTAAGGATTACAAATCAAAGTACATATCATTTTCTGACACAAATTGATCAAGGTGATAGTTGATTGGTCTGTCTTCTCTAAAGAGAAAAGAACATTATCTCCTTATGTGAAAAGTTAGCATTCAGTAACATATTAATATGAGTTATATATTCATTTTACAAAGCCATAGATTAATACCATTTCACTTAAAGAACAATCCATAATGCTATAGCCAATTATTATACAATCAAGAAAGCAAAATCTTCAAGAATTTGGCAGATTCCCAATATCCTGTATCTTTTGTACTGATGGCACTACAGAATAATACATGGTGTTAGCTACAATGTTAACTAGTTAACCAGTCAGAATATATTCAAGTAATCAGGACATTCTCATTTACCAATCGTCATAGTTTTTTTTTTTTTTTTTTTTTTTTGATATTCTATAAGACTAGGAGTATAGAATTGTGGGAAAAAAAGTAACGTGGCAATTTAAGAGTCTTGAGATTTTTGAGGCATGAAATTAAAAAGCTAAAGATATTACGTTTCAATAAGAAAAATAAAGTTCCAATACATAACTTCGTTAGTTTAGCTGATACCTAGATTTTGAAATACCTACATCCTTTAAAGTAATAATGTTGGGGTGTTGTCCATAGCGCATCAATATTTCAATCTCTTCTGAAGGATCTCGCTTACTTTTGTCAATGATCTAAGAAATAAGAAAAAAGAAAAATATCTGAGGCAAACAAATTACTTTTTCTAAAAATGGATATTTTCAGTTTGGTTATATTTTTGAAGAAACACTTAAAAACACAAGAACAATGCTTACCTCATATTATTTTAACATTTAAAAACTTCTTATAAGTAAAACTTAACAGAAAAAAGGAACACTTTACCATCATATGCTATTTCACTGAAACTATACTAATGATGATGTGATTGTAATTGTTGCAATTACTCAGTCTTAACATAATACATTATAATGAAATTATTCAAATACAAAAATTCATAAAATGCACTGTTCTTACAAAATAAAGCCTTGAAAAGAAATTCAAAATGATTAAAATATTAAATCTCAGAGTTCTTTCTTATCATCTTATCTTTCCTAACTTTATTTACTCCACTGAAAATGTCAGTTGACTCATAATTTAAATTACATACATAAAACAAATGAGAAAGATAGGCTCAGAGACGATACCTTTACTGCAAATTCCATGTTGGTAGTTGCATGTACGCATCGTTTGCAAACAGAATAGGAGCCAACACCAATATCCTCTTTCAATTCATATACTTCACCAAATTGTGCAGCGTTTCCATTTATCTGTTTATTTTTAAAAAGTAAAATACTAAGGAAAATGAAATATTTTCACATTTTCTGTCTTTTGATCTTAAAAAAGCTAGAGTAATTCATTCTACAGAAATTTTTTCAACACTTATAAATGGCTTAAACGGATTCTGAACCAATCTTTTCTTGATACTTACAGCCAATATAATAAATCAACTGGCTTACACATCACCCTTAGATTTGATTTAAAAGAGGCCACATAAACATAATTAAAAGTTACTACTGTCTGCTCTTTTCCAAAACATACAGGACCATATTTAATTCATGATTTATACCAAGAGATAAAGTAGTTAAAAATCACTTTTTAAAAATATTAAAAATAGATCAGCAATAACAGAGAAATAATTATGCCAAACTGAATAATGTGATTAAATGGAATTTACCTGAACAATTGGTAATACATTTGCACTTGTGATAGGAGTGATTTTATATTCTTCTGCAATAGAAGTTGCAACAAAACTGAATCCTTTGAAGAGCTGATGAGCATTTGCACTGGCTGGCAAACCAGGAGAATCTAATGTCCAAATAATTATATTTAATTATAACTACACACAGCATTCTACAATATAAAGTGTCAGAATTTCTTTATAAAGGAAACCATTGTATGTTGCTATCTAACATATTATATATTTGATTTATTATATATTATCTGTTTTCTTTCTGTATACATGCTCCATTTTTAGTCAGTACTTTTTGTCTGTTCTTTTCACTGCTGCATCCTCATTGCTTAGTACATAATAGGCATTCAGTATTTCTTAAACATATGTATGAAACTGTAAGAGAGTAATATATCTCATGTCTTACCTCCTACCCTATCCTGTAAATCATTAGCATGTCAAAGGACTTACAAAACAAACAAAAACCTTGCTACTCTTTGACCTAGTTCATGCCTTCCTGATAAATATTTCCCATTTAGAACCTCTACTTGACAGCTACCCAAGCAACACTGTGTATAGGATCCATATTTCCCATGGGAAAACCAACCCTCTGCAAATTTACCATTCTTTCAACTTTTACTTCAGAAGACAGTTTATTTGTAAACTATCTATTAAAATAAAATCCCTGATTTTACAGATAAACATGCATTACCTTTAGGTGTTTTTGCGGTAAATTCAGGATCAAAACAAAAAGTATCATCTGGTTTTCCAGAAGCAGGTTTGAAAGGAGGCTGAACTTCTCTTTTATATAATTTCTAGAAGAGGCAACCACATAATACAAAACATATTAATACTTTAAACAATTATTATACTCTGTAAAAGAAAGCAGGACATAATATTCACAGTTCCTAATAGAAGTCTAACAATTTCATAAAATAAATTTCAACAAGTATCAGATAACTGTTAACCAAATTCTAAAATTTTGAGAGATAATGCTCAAAATTTAATAAGGTCAAGAAACAGAGCTGTGATGCCACAAGTTGAATTCATAAGGAATGCTCAATTTTGAATATAAGTTTTTGAATGCTCATTGTTAATATAACCATGCAAATACAGCACAATGTTACCATGCAGAAATAACTAAAATTCTCAAGGCTTTCAAAATCAATAGACTATTTTTAAGAAGTACATATTTCATCTAAGATATTGTTTACACGTAAAAATATACATTAAACGTACTGTTTAGGCTTATATCAAAATATTAAAAAATTTGGTCTTGTCTAACAATCTTGCTAAAATCTATGCTTTTAGAAGGCATAGAAAATGTCTAATAATATATAAAAAGCCACTTTTTTTGAAACCTACTTTTTATAAAGTTTACAGTCCCAAAGTTGGGAAAAATATATGAGGAATTACTTTCAAATAATTTTTATTTAGTTAATATGTAAACATGACTTCTGGTTCAATATGGCTTACTAGAAACAGCTAGTGGGTGACTATCTCACAGTGAGGAATCAAAATAGCAAGTAAATATTGACACCTCAAGTAGATTGTCTAGGAGGCCACACTGGAATTCATCAGAAAAGTGATGGAACTGGGAATCACAGAAAGTAGAGAATGAAGCCATGCCACCAGGTGAACTGAGACTGGTGTAGAGCCAGGAGATCTTTGATGCAGGGAAGGGAAAATTGAGTGAGACCCCCAGGATTCCACAATTCTGCCACAGACTAACAATGCTAATTCATAAGTAAGCCCCCTTGAATCCCCTAGGCCTCCAGTTTAATACATGGAGCTGCCTAGAGTGTGTGTAGAGGTACTCTCAAGCCCATGTGGGATTCCATGGACTTTTGATCCCTGAGCAGCCTGGCACTGGCTGCTGCCACCCCACCAGGCAGGCAGCAGGTAGGCCTACTTGTACACACCTCAAAGACAGATACTGCAACTGCAGTATAGAGGAGGAAACAGAATGCACATTGCAATGACTGCCGGTCTCAGCTGTTCCCTGCTGAGGAAGAAGGCGTCCTTTCTTCAATGTTGGGTCTACAGCACAGCTGCCCTGCCCCATATGTACATACTGGCCACAGCCTGGTGTTCTTAGAGCCCAGCTCCCAGAGACTGGTGATCCACTCTTCAGCTGCCTCAGCAGTTACACCCAACACCAGCATCATACTTGCCACTTCTGGGCCAAGGAGAGAGTGGGGAAACCAGGCACCTTTGTGTGCTTCTCAAAGTAAAATCCACTGCTGCTCATTCAGGAGGGAAGTGCAGTTGGGCCAAGTACCCAACAGCTGCCAACCTGCACTGCTTCAGCTGAAGGGATCTGCCTTCCACAGTGAAAGGCTAGCAGCTCAGTTGCCCTGCTCCCAACTGACTATTTCACCTGTTACCTGGAGGCCTTCTGAGAGCCCAGCCCCCATAGGGCTGTGATAGGCCTTGGGACTTTGACTGCATAAGCATTCTGCAGGTCTTTCTGAAAGCCTAGAGCCCAAGGCATGTGATCAGCCATAGGAATCATACCACCAGAGCGTTCTGCCACAATCTGAGCATCCTGTAGGCCCATTTGGAGACTAGCTCCCACAGGCCTGTGATCAGCCATATGGACCCAAGCACCTGAGTGTTTTGCAATATTCTGAGCATTCTGTGGGCACTCCTGAGAGCCTAGCCCCCACAGGTCTACGATATGCACTGATGCACCAACTGCCTGAGCATCCTGCAACTGCCTAAGCATTTTGTAGGCCCTTCTGAGATCCCAGCCCCAATAGACCCATGATGTACCCTAGGACTCCCACTGCCTGAGTACTCTGCTTGAGAGTTCTGCCTGTGACTCCAAGAACCAGCCCATTACTCCCTATCATAGCCAGCAGCAGAATTCTAGGGACTTAACAAGTCCACTGGCCTGGTCTTGGTCCACTCTCTACAGGACTAATACTATTGGGCAATCTGGGGAATAAAGAACTGGAAGTCTGCCTAGTCCTATCTACCACTGCTGGCACATGAACATGCCCCAATCTGTGGTCTGAGCTCAGATGGATCCAACCACATGACACCACCGCAGCTAATACCCAACTGTGTGTGCTAAAAAGTAGAGCCCCTCTATCTCCTATCTACAGAAAGCAGTAGCATTACCCAATGGCAAACAGGTGAGTCACAAAGCTGTGTGAATTGGACTGAATCAGGAGGTTCCACCCAGAAACCACTCCCATAGAGAATTGCAAGACAAGTATCTTCCGTGGCTATCAGCTATACTGTGGTCTGGAGATAGACAACAGGTATGCATCTGAACCAAGAGTCATGAGCTCTGAGTCAGGGGTGTGATAGGTAAATAGAACATATTCCTACCTGTCTAGGATGTGGAGCTAGTCTCCCTACCCTCTGCTGAGACCTTGGCACCATTCAGCAGTTATTCCCCAAACCATGCCTGTCAGGGCTGGTTCCCCAGCTCATCACTGGGGTATTTGTGGGCAAGCCAGGCAGTCCAGCTCTGCCTAGATTTGTTTCCCCTCACCCTTCATGGGACAAGAAGTTCAGGGAAACTGGCATTCCACTGTCCAGCCCATCATCTGAAACAACAGACAGTACCACACAATAAACAAATATCAAGTGCATATAGATCTGCTTTTGCCACAGCTGGCTTATACTGGTAATTACCACCTATTGCCCTGTAGATTGAACTGCAAAACCCAACATAAAACCTGACTAAGAAGTGCATAGGCCCATAGAAGCAAAGCCAAAAGACTTTTGGCTATTTCCCAACCTACTCTACAGTCATACCCCCCAACAAGAGCAGTGGCAGGAGGTGAACCATGTCCAAATGAAAGTAAATTCAAAAGTAATATGTGACAGCTTCTACAGATAAGAAGGAACCAGCATAATAACTTCTGGACTATAAAGAAAAATAATGTTGTAATATCCCCAAAGAACCCCAGTAGCTCCCTAGCAATGAATCCTAATCAAATGATAATTTTGAAATGACAGATAAAACATTTGAAATGTGAATTGCAAGGAAGCTCAATGAAATGCAAAAGAAAGTCAAAAACAAACGAACACGAAAAAATCAGAAAACAGTTAAGGAGATAAAAGATAAATAAATATATTTTTTTTAATTCTGGAAGTGAAAAAAGGACTAAAGAAATTTCAAAGCACAGTTGAAAACTGTAATAACGTACTAGACCATGCATAAGAAATAATTTTGAGCTTGATGGCTGGTCTTTTGAATTAAATCAGTCAGATAAAAAATAAAGAAGAAATAATTTTTAAAAAAATGAACAAAATCTTTGAGAAATATGGGATAATGTAAAGTGGTCAAATTTACAACTTATAGGCAGAAAGAAGAAGTTTAGAAAGCATAATTGAGGAACTAATTCAGGAAAATATCCCCAATTTTCTTAAAGACAAAGATATCCAGATATAAACAATTCAGAGAACATCTAGGAGACACTATAGAATGCAAACATCACCTAAGAATATAGCCAGCAGACAATCCAAGTTCAGTGTGAAAGAATAAGTCATAAAAGAAGCTAGAGAAAAGCATCAAATCACCAATAAAGGAAATCTCATCAAACTGACAGTGGACATCTCAGCAGAAATTTTAACAAGTCAGAAGAGAATAGGGACCTAATTTTAGCTTCCTTAAAAAATGCCAGCCAAGAATTTTATATCCAGCCAAAATAAACTTCATAAATGAAGAAGACATGAAGTCATTCATAGAAAAGAAAACACTAGAGGAATTTATCACCACTAAACAGGCCCCACAAGAAATGCTCAAAGGAGTTCTAAACATGGAAACAAAAGTATGACACTTACCATCCTAAATGCCTGCATAAGTAAAAAACTTAAAGGTCCTATAAAATAATCATACAATTGAGAATCCAACACAACTAGCTATCAATATTATGACAGGATTAAAACTTCAAATATCAATATAACCTTGAACATAAATGTCATAAATGCTCTATCCAAAATATACAGACCAGCAAGTTGGGTAACAGACAAAAACCAACCACCTGCTGTCAAAAAGAGATCCACAGAATAACTAAGCACAACTACAGACTTAAAGTCAAGGGATGAAAAAAGGTAGAGCATGCAAATAAAAAAAACAACAGATCAGGAGTAGCAATTCTCATATCAGATAAAACAGATTTTAAACCAGCAACAGTAAGAAAAGGCAAAGAAGGGCATTATATAATGATAAGGGCTCAAATAAACCAAAATATTTATGCATGCAACACCAGAGCCATCAGATTCAAAAACAAATAATAACAAACCTAAGAAAAGAGATTGATGGCAATACGATAATAGTGAGAGACTTCAACACCAAGTGAGAACACTAGACAGGTCATCAAGGCAAAAGAAACCCTGGACTTAAACTGGACTCTAGACCAAATGGACGTTTACAGAATATTCTAACTAACAACTACAGAATATACATTTTTCTCATCTGCACATGTAACACTCTCCAAAAATGACCATAAGGCTAATTTCAATAAACTCAAAAAAATCAAAATCACATCAAGTATCCTACTGGACCACAGCAGAATAAAATTAGAAATCATTTCTCCCCTTGCTATCTCTCCCCAGCTTCATGATGGGGAGGAAGGCAGCAAATCACACTGCCACGTGTGTTCCTATGCAACAATTTTGCATGTTCTTCACATGTACCCCAAAACCTAAAATGCAATAAAATAAATAAATGGGAAAAAAAAAATTAGAAATCAATACCAATGGGAACTCTCAAAGCTACACAAGTACATAAAAATGAAACAAGTTGCTCATAAATGACTTTTGGGTAAACAACAAAATCAAGGCAGGCATAAAAATATTGAAATGAATGAAAATAGAGACACAGCATAGCAAAACCTCTGAGATACAGCCAAAGTAGTGCTAAGAGGAAAGGTTTTAGTGTTAAATTCCTAAATCAAAAACATAGAAAGATCTCAAATCAATGACCTATTGTCACACTATGTGAAACTAGAATAACAAGAAAAGCCAAATCCAAAGCCAGCAGAAGACAAAAACTAACTCAATTTCACTTAGCTGAACTAAGTGAGATTGAGATTAAAAAAAGATACAAAGGAGCAACAAAACGAGAAGCTGGTTCTTTGAAATAATAAAGTTGATAGAACACTAGATGGTTTAACCAAGAAGAAACGAGAGGAGATTCTACTAAGCACAATCAGAAATGAAAAAGAGTACACATTTCAATGGATACCACAGAAACATAAAAGATAATCAGTGATCAATATGAACATGTATATACATACAAACTAGAAAAACTAAATGATGGATAAATTTCTGGAAACATAAGGCTTCCCAACACTGAACCGGGATGAAACAGAAATCACAAACATACCAAAGGAGCAGTGAAACTGAGCCAGTAATAAAATACGTTCCATCAAAAAAAGCCATGACCACATAGGCATATAAACAAAATTTTCCAGACATGCAAAGAAGAGCTGGTGCCAATCTTACTAAAACTGTTCCAAAAAATTGAGAAGCTAGGAATCCTTCCTAATTAATTCTACAAAACCAGTATCATCCTGAGAAAAAAATCAGGAAAGGACACAACCAAAAATTAAAATTGCCAGCCAGTATGCCTGATGAACATAGATGTAGATACAAAAATTCTCAACAAAATTTTACCAAACCAAATCCAACAGCACATGTAAAAAATAGTTAATCATAATCAAGTGGATTTTATTCTAGGGATGAAATGATGGATCAACATTTACCAATCAATAAATGTGAATCATCACATAAACAAAATTATTAAAAAATATGTGATCATCTCAATAGATGCAGAAAAAGCATTTGAGACAATTCAACATCACTTGATAAAAACCCTCCATATAATAGGCATAGAAGGAACACACTCAAAATAATAAGGACCATATATGACAAACCCACAGCCAACATTAAACCAAATGTGGGAAAGTTGAAAGCATTCCTTTCAAGAACTGAAACAGATCAAGGATGTCCACTTTCACCACTCCTGGTTAACAAAGTATCAGAAAGTTCTAGCCAGAGCAATCAAGCAAGAGACAGAAATAAAAGATATCCAAATTGGAAAAGAGGAACTCAAATTATCTCTGTTCATTGATTATATGATATGATACTGAGAAAACCCAGAAGACTCCTCCAAAAGGCTCCTAGACTTGATAAACAAATTAAGTAAAGTTTCAAAAGCCAAAATCAACATAAAAAAATCAGTAGCTTTTCTATACAACAGTGACATTCTAACTGAAAACCAAATGAAGGTTCTCATTAACAATCTTATTAACAATAGCCACAAACAGTAAAATACCTACAAATACATTTAACCAAGAATGTGAAACAGTTCTACAAAGGAGAAATATAAAATACGAATGAAAGAAACTAAATTAAATGGATAAATGGAGAAACATCTCATGCTTATAAATTGGAAGAATCAGTATCATTAAAATGACCATACCAGCCCAGGCACAGTTATTCATGCCAATAATCCCAGCACTTTGGAAAGCTGAGGCAGGAGAATCACTTGAACCCAGAAGTTCCAGACCATCCTAGTCAACATAACAAGACCTTATCTTTACAAAAAAAAAAAAAAAAAAAAAAGAAAAAGAAAATTAGCCAGACATGGTGGCATACACCTGTATCCCCAGCTATTCAGGAGGCTGAAGAGGGAGGATTGTTTGAGTCTAGAGGTCAAAGTTGCAATGTGCTGTGATCATGCCACTGCATTCCAGCCTAGGCAATATAGAGACATGCTGTCTCAAATTTTAAAAAATGGCCATACTGTCCAAAGCAATATATATATATTCAATACAATTCTGATAAAAGTATGAAAGTCACCCTTCAGAGAATTAGAAATAGCAATCCTAATGTTTACATAGAACCAAAAAACAGACTGAATAGCCAAAGCAACCTTAAGTAAAATTAACAAAGCCAGAGGCATCAAATTTCCTAATTTCAAATTATACAAGGCTACAGTAACTAAAACAGCATAGTACTTGTACAAAAATAGACACATAGATCAATGGGACAAAATAGAGATCCTAGAAATAAGGCTGCATACCTATAGCCATCTGGTTTTCTACAAAATCAACAACAATAAACACTAAAGAGAGAACACTCTATTCAATAAGTCGTGTTGGGAAAATTGCCTAGCCACATAGAGAAGAATAAAATTGGACCCTTATCTCTCACTATTTACAAAAATTAATGCAAGATCATTTGAAGACTTAAATGTAAGACCTGAAACTACAAAGGTCCTAGAAGAAAACCTAGGGAAAACTCTTCTGGACATTGGCCTACACAAAGAATTTATGACTAAGACCCCAAAAGCAAATGCAACAAAAACAAAGGAGATAAATAGGACTTAATTAAACTAAAAAGTTTATGCACAGCCAAAGAAATAATCAGTAGAGTAAAAAGATGACCTACAGAGTGGGATAAAATATTTGTAAACTATGCCTGTGACCAAAGACTAATATCCACAATCTACAAGGTACTCAAACACCTCAACAAGTAAAAAAAAAAATAAAAAAAATAAAAAAAAAATGCTAAACATGTAATCATTAGAAAAATGCAAATTAAAACCACAAAGAAATATGATTTTATATCAGTCAGGAGGGCTATAATTAAAAAGTTAGAAAACAACAGATGTTGCCATGAATGTGGGAAAAAATGAGTATGCTTATACGCTGTTGGTGGGAATGTAAATTAGTACAAACTCTATGGAAAACCATAAGCAGATTTCTCAAAGAACTAATAATCAAAAAAAAAATCTAACCCAGCAATCCCACTAATAGGTATATACCTAAAAGAAAATAAATCATTATATAAAAAAGACACCTGCATTTGTATGTCTATCACAGCACTGTTCACAATAGCAAAGTCGCGGAATCAACCTAAGTGTCCATTCACAGTTAACTGGATAAAGATAATGTGGTAAATATACACCAAGGAATACTATGCAGCCATAAGAAAGAACAAGATCATTATCGTTGGAGCAACATAGATGGAAGTGGAGATTATTATCCTATATGAAATAACTCAGAAAACTAAATACCCCATGTTCTCACTTATAAGTAGGAGCTACACAATAGGTACGCATGGGCATAAAGATGGAAATAACAGACACTGAGGACTCCAAAAGGGGAGAAGTTAGAAGGGGGTCAAGGGTTGAAAAATTACCTAATGGTCACTATTTGGGTGATGGGTACACTAGAAGTCCAGACCCATCATTATGTAATATACCCATATAAAAAACCCACAAATACACCCCCAGATCTAAATTAATTTTTTTTAAAAAAAGAAAAATAAATACATATGTAAACACTGCACAGATTTGTTATTGAAATTAAAAACAATGATCCTTTAATCTACTGTGTTGTTCATACTACCATAAAGTTATTCAATAACAAGCTTTCTACTTAACTTACATCCCAGTCAATATTTGCAAAAAACAGATGTCTTTTGATTTCCTCAACTCCTTCTGAACCTATAAAAAAGGAAATGATTTTTTATTGATATGCGTTTTTTTTTTTTTTTTTAAATCTTGCTCCCTGGCTTCCAGGCTGCTATCTGTAAACAGGAGTACACACATTTCATACATTCTTTGAAATGAAAAGTATATGATTTCTTATCTGGCATTTTATTAGCTTGTACTTTCATTTTACTGTGATAAAAAATAACTAATGTTCATACTGAACTACAAAGAGTATCATGAAATACTAAAGTGTCTCCCAAATCAAATCAAAATATTAAATATAATTAAAATACATATTTTTTCATTCCTAATTTATCTTATGACCTCATATTTATATGCCAAATTAAAAGGTATAAAGGAATAAAGTGAGTGACATTGAAATTTTCACACAAGGACATAAATAATAGCATCGCATTTGGATGCAGGAAAAGGCTACCAGAAAGGGGTCAAAAAGAAGTAGTTACGTTTCCATAATGTTTACTTTGAAAAATATTGGGAGGGGCAAAATATTTATCTTCTAATATATAAAAGATCACCTGTACAGGGGAGAATTATATTATTTCAAAATAAGTAACCCATATTATATACCTAATAATATGTTGAAGATTTTATTAACTAGACTACTTCATTTTCAACTCCTGGACATAACAGAGTTTACTTCATGTGAAATGCATACAGAGAATGAAAAATTCTATGAATAAATATATAGAAGTCATGTGTTTAAATCAAACAAGGAAACATAAAGATTTAATTATCCTCCCGAAACATGCAGTTACTTCTATAAAAGCTAAGAAAATAAACAATACCCAATCTATTTGCTGGATTCCTCTTGAATAACATCCTTAAAAGACTTTGTGCTTCAGCACTAAGAAATTGAGGCATTCCAAGTTTTGCTCTGAAACAGAGGATTTTAGAAAATTTCACTTAAATGTAGCCACACTTTTGATTTGAGAAATCTCAAAAATAATTTTTAAAAGTGCTTTTACAAGGGTAAATAAAGTCCTGTACATGGTAAAAGGGAACAAGACAGTGAGAAAAATGTTCTTTTGTGTTACTTTAAAACCGCAATAAATTTATCAAAACTGAAAGCAAGAGATTTTTTTCCCAAAAGAAAAACATACTGTTTATACTTACTTTAATATCATATTCATGGTTTCATTTCTGTCTTTACCTTGAAATGGTAGAGTACCAGTAAGCATTTCAAACTGAAAAAAAAAAAACAACAAAAAAAAAAAAAAATATAATTAAAAAACCTTAAAAAAATAAAATTTTTTTAGAAAAAAAAAATGAGTCTTCTATATAATCACCAAATTGTAGTTCCTACATGATAGTAGGCAAAATGGGACCAGAAAACTAGGTCACTTAAATACATTTCTGGTACCCGCCCCCCCCCCGTCTCTCTCTGTCTCTCTCTCTCTCTACCTCTCTCTCTCTCTCTACATATATCTCAACTGATGGTGACCTGTAGCAGGTGAAACCAACAAACTTTTCCTCAGTTCTAATTTGGCTATGTTCTCAAGGCCAAAACAACTTGAAAATACATACAATGCATTTTCTTTTAAAACAAATATATTCTTTTGAAGTAAATGTTTAATAATAAAGGAAAAGGAAAAATAAGCAGAAAAGCATTTCAAATTCATATACGCCCAAGAAAGATTTAACCATTTTCTTTCCCTTCACTGCTTCCAAAACAGGAACCAAAAAAAGAGGTAGAAAAAGCAGAACACCCCGACACCACCACCACCCCACAACATAGGCCAACAGCTTTAAAAAAGAAACATACACCTTAGATGTACACAGAACAAGGACAACATTTTCTCAAAGAGAACTGACTGCAATGCAGCTAACTAAAACATTAAATAATGGTATAAAAAAACTATGTCTAAAAATAGTGATTACAGTACATTAAAAAGAAGTTTTTATGTCTTCAGTATTTAAATCTTAGATTTAATAATGGCTTTGGCATTAGTCTTCTACTCATTTAGAATCTAAGTGTGAGTTGCTACTATATATTCAAGTCTCCCCTGTATCTTAATGTCTCCCAAAATCTGCTGTTTAAGTCTTAATCTCTCTCAAACTCAAGCTTTCCTTCCTAAATTTTAAATAATTGTACACCACTAAAGACTGGAGGAGTAGAGGTGGTAACTGCAGGGAAAAAAAGGAAGGATTGTATATGGGACTCACATCTTCCCTCAAAGAAACTACAGTTTGGGTAGTTAATATATACATATTAAGGTCTCCAAAGGGTTCTGATTCTCTCTCCACTACCCCTTCTAGTTTATCACCACCCAGTGGTGAGTCATTAACCTACAGTAACCTATGCTACATGTTAAAAATAATGTTTTTCCGCTTCCAAAACCAGCTTTCCTCCTCAGCTATCCCTTCTATTAACTCACCACTCTTTCAACCACCCTAAACCTCACAAATTTTATGGGCATTTTTTTTCCCATTTATTTATTTTATTGCATTTTAGGTTTTGGGGTACATGTGAAGAACATGCAAGATTGTTGCATAGGTACACATGTGGCAGTGTGATTTGTTGCCTTCCTCCTCATCACCTACATCTGGCATCTCTCCCCTTGCTATCTCTCCCCTATTCCCCACCCCCCACCGTCCCTCCCCTATTTCCCCCCAACTGACCCCAGTGTGTAGTGCTCCCCTCCCTGTGTCCATGTGTTCTCATTGTTCAACACCCGCCTATGAGTGAGAACATGCGGTGTTTGATCTTCTGCTCTTCTGTCAGTTTACGGGCATTTTTATCTTTGACAATTCATCTCCGTTTAAACTGTGTCATCTAATTTGCTACCAAGGTAGTAACTTCTTACTTTGAAATCTCTATAATCTTTCAAATATCTTTTAAGACCTTTTTGTCTTCCCATTTCTAGTTTCTTCCATTACAATCCACTTATATAATGCTGTCAAGGCTAATCTTCCTAAAATACAATTTTCTGTAATTTCCATCCTTTTTAAGAATGTAAAAGTTTCCTCCCACCCAGAGAAGCACGTATAAATGTTTACAGGTTTATAGTTTCACTTCCTCCACCTTTGCCCTCTTTCTCCACTACTCCAGTCAAACCGGTTCTCCAAGTCTTTGCTAATATTATCACAATACTCTCCTTGTTGACACACAACTATTTAAATTTTATCCATCCTTCGGGGCTTAAGTTCCACCACTTCCAGCTTGCCTACTCAGCTTACATCTTCTCTGAACTCCTAAGGTACTTCTTGAGAGTTTATTTAGCTACTGCAATTGAAAAAAGACCAAATATTGTACTTAGAATCAGTCCCTATCCCACAGACCTCCCAGTATGTCAGGCTTATAACAGGCACTTAACATGCTGATTTGTCATATGGTGTGCTACTCAGTGATAAATGAGTAAAATGGATCAGACCTCAAAAACAAATTGTATCTAATTCAACAGCTATATACCTATCACCCTACTGACTACTACAAATTCTATGCTTAATCCCTTCATATCAAATTAGTCTGTATTAAGCATCTACTGAAATGCTCACTATGCTTGGTACTACGGGAGTTGGAGAGTAGTATGAGACAGGATTCGTCTCCTCAACAGGTTTATAACCTTTCTAAGGGCATGCATGAAACAATTTGACAATAAGACACTATATGGCAAGGTGCTAAATTCTGTAACATTCAATTAAAATACCATATAACTGCTAGGCTCATCATTCCGAAATATGAAATCTGACAAACCTTTTAATAAGTATCAAAATATGAATAGTTTATAGTAACAATGCTGCCATTTACCTTTTTACTGGCAACTTTAAAAGAAATCAGAACACCAAAACTAATTTTTATTGTATAACAGCTAGCCAATCACAAGGTTTTCGATGTTAATTATGAATTATCAGAACTCCTTTCTGACGTGATAAATCCCAAAATTTGAAATGAAATAAAATTATAAGTAATATCAATAACAGGTTGGCATAATTAAAACAAATAATGCTACTTACCATAAGAACACCATATGACCACCAATCAGCACTCTGGGAATGGCCTCTCCTATTTACTACTTCAGGAGCCATATACTCTACTGTACCACAAAATGAGTATGCCTTCTTTTCTTGATCTACTGACTCCTTGCTGAGTCCAAAATCTATAATAATAGTATTACCAAAAAATGTGTCTGAAAAACTTCAGAAAATAGAAAACATCAAAAACAACAAAACAACAAAATAATGTATTAAACATTACAATTATTTATGGATGGCCTACAGTTACTCTTAAGAAAGTTCCTGTGAGATCAATAAGAGAAAGCAGCCTGTATTTCATAACAATACTCTTTAAGGTCATTTAAAGATTGTTCCATTAAATCTCATCTTCAAAATACATGCTTTCTGGTCTGCACTACAGTATCATGGAAATATTTTGAGGAAACAACAAGTAAATCAAAGCTGCCATAACGACCTAAGTTTTAAAACAGATTAAGACAAAACAGAAATAGTAACTTATACTTTTTAAAATATTGAAAAAGCAAATTTTGCTTTGGCTTTGGTGAGCTTCCATTTTTGTTCAAAGCCTTCAAAGAGCTAAAAATATCAATATATAAAAATCAATCTTATTTCTTGGTATTAGTAATGAACAACTGGAAGGTGAAATTTTTTAAGTACCATTAATAATACCACCAAAAATATCAAACTTGAAATCCACAGGTATAAATATACAAATACAGCTATAAAATATATATGTAAGAATTATATGCTGACAACTGGAAACATTGATGAAAGAAATCAAAGTAGACCTAAATAAATGGGAAGTATGCCATGTTCATGAATTGGAATATTTAATGTTGTTAATAGGTCAATTCTCCCAAAACTGAGATGTCAATTCAATGAAACTTCAATAAAATCCCAGCAAAATTTCTTCTGTAGAAATAAATAAGCTGATTCTACAATTTGTATTAAAAAAAAAAAAAGCCAAGAAAATAAAATACCCCAAACAATTTTGAAAAGCAAGAAAAAAGTTGAAGGACTTATATTTCGCCTGACTTCAACACTTACTATAAAGCTACATTAATCAAGACAATGGGGTACCGGAAAAAGGTTAGACATATATATCAATATAAAAGAAATGTGTTCAATAATAGACTGACATATGGAGTTAGTTCTGCTATAATGTTTCTTTTGAAAATGCAAATTTGTTCTAATGCAATTGATATCTTAGCAAACAATCTAAGTATAACAGGAATTTCACACTGGCTTATGGGTGATTTTGTCTGCAGGAAATGTTAGGTGAGCACAGAAAACTGCACTAGCTGAGCTTAGCAAAGTAGAAATACATAAAATGCACATATGTACACACCTCAATCATCTATCAGCTACTTCACTGTATTTGTTATGAGCCACTCCTGTCCACTAGTGTTAAAATTTTCCTTCCAATTCCAGATAATCTAACTTCCACTACAGCATTATAACTTACAAACTGTAACTTTTCTTATACCTACTTCCAGAAGCAAACTTCAGATCTTTTTCAAGGTAAGGAACCATATTTATTGCAGTCTTTATGTATTTCGTAATCATTTAGAACATGTAAAACAAGGCTACCACTTTTACTTTCTTTTCTTTTGCATATCACTCATTAAACATTTTAAAGTTATGCCCCTTGTCTCACTTTCCCTGTAAGTTCTGTGGTTTATATACTATGCATTTATGCATGCTGTAGTGATTTAGATCACATATGTCACATTATAACAGAACTGGCTCTACATTGTCAATTTCTGGCAAAGGTGCAAAAGCAATTCCATGGAGAAAAAGCAGTCTTTTTAACAAATGGTACAAGAACAAGTAGGACAGAGATATAGAAAAGTTCATCCTCATATCTTAAGTAACCCCAAATATATCGTAAACCATGTAAAACCTAGAACTGTAAAATTTACAAAAAAAAAAATCTTTGTGATCTTGGGTTAGACAAGGAATTCTTAGATACATCAAACATATAATCCATAAAAGAAAAATAATGATAAACTGGACATCATTAAAAGAAATAAAACTGTTCTTCAGAAAACAGCATTAAAAAAATGAAAAGCTACAGTAGGAGAGAATGAAGCAAGACGGCAAAATAGTAGCCTATACCATTTGTAGTTTCTGTAGGAACACCAAAGTCTAAGAACTACTGCACATAGAAAAGCATCATCACAAGAATAAAAAATCAGGTGAGTAATCACAGTACTTAGTTTTAACTACATATTGCTTAAAGAGGCATTGAAGAGAGTAGAAAAGACAGTCATGGATCACTGATGACACCTCTTCCCCATGCCCCAGCAGTGGCCATGCAGCGAGGGGAGCCTCTGCAGATAGGGGAGGGAAAGCTCAGCAACTGAGAGATTTTACATTGAATTCAGCGCTGCCCTGTTACAGCAGAGAGCAAAGTCATGCTGGGCTCTTCCAGCACCCACATATGGATGAAGCTTTATTTATTTATTTATTTATTTATTTATTTTTTTGAGACGAAGTTTCGCTCTCGTTGCCCAGGCTGGAGTGCAATGGCGCGATCTTGGCTCACCACAACCTCCGCCTCCTGGGTTCAGGCAATTCTCCTGCCTCAGCCTCCTGAGTAGGTGGGATTACAGGCATGCGCCACCATGCCCAGCTGATTTTTTTGTATTTTTAGTAGAGACGGGGTTTCACCATGTTGACCAGGATGGTCTCGATCTCTTGACCTCGTGATCCACCCGCCTTGGCCTCCCAAAGTGCTGGGATTACAGGCGTGAGCCACCATGCCCGGCCTGCTTTTGTTATTTTTTATGTATTATTATTTTTTTGAGATGGAGTCTTGCTCACTGCAGCCTCTGCCTCCTGGGTTCAAGTGATTCTCCTGCCTCAGCCTCCTGAGTAGCTGGGATTACAGATGCCCAACCACCATGCCCAGCTAATATTTTTGTATTTTTAGTAGAGGCAGGGTTTCACCATGTTGGGTCAGTCTGATCTTGAACTCCTGATCTCAGGTGATCCATCCACCTTGGGCTCCTAAAGTGCTGAGATTACAGGCGTGAACCATTGTGCCCAGCCGGGGGAAGCTTTTAGACAAGAACTAGCCAGAGGGGAATTGCCCATCCCAGTCGTCTAAATTTGAATTCCTCAGCAAGCCTTGCCATCTTGGGCCAAAGTGATCTGGGGTTCTAGGTAAACTTACAAGGCAGTCTAAGATGTAAACCCTACAATTCCTAGACAACAACTAGTGTTGAACTGGAATTAGAGCCAGTGGACTAAGGTGGCATGTGGCCTAGGAAGATACCAGCAGAATGGCTAAGGGACTATTTGTGCCACTTTTCCCACAACCTCAGATAGCACAGCAACAAAAGTGACTTCTTCCTTCTGCTTAAGAAAGAAGGATCAAAAAGTAAAGAGGACTTTGTCTTAGATCTTGGATATCAGCTCAGCCATAGCAGGATAGGACAGGGGGCAGAGTTGGGAGTTTCCCATTTTAGGCCCTAGCTCATGGATGACATTTCTAGACACAATCTGGGCCAAAAGGAAACCCACTGTCTTGAAGAGAAGGACCCAATCCTGGCAGGATTCATTGCCTGCTGATTAAAGAGCTCTTGGGCCATGAATAACCAGCAGCAGCAATATACCAAGGTAGTACAGCATGGACCTTGGGCTCTGAGACATGCTGGCTTCAGGTGTGACCCAACAAATTGAGAGCTGTGGTAGCTACAGAAAAAGACTCCATCTGTTTGAGAAAAGCAGATGGAAAGGTAAAGGGGACTGTCTTGCACCTTTGGTACTAGCTTGGCCACAGTGGGATAGACCAACAGGCAGGCTCTTGAGGTCTCTGAGCCTAGGCGTAGGCTCTTGGATATGATTTCTGGTCCTGCTCCTGGAGGATAAGGGAGCCCAGTGCTCTGAAGAGTGAGTTCCCAGCCTGGCAACATTCACAAGTTAACTGAGGAGCTGTTGGGCTTTAAGTGAACATTGCCAGTGGCTTGGCAGAATCCCCACTATGGGCTGCTGGTGCTGACGGCTACAGGGAGAGGCTCTTCCACCTGCAGAAAGGGGAAGAAAGTGCAACAAAGATTCTGGATTATGGTCTGAGTGCCAGCTTAGCTGCAGTAGAAAGAACATCAGGTAAATTTCTTAGGTATTTGATTCTAATCCTTGGCTCCCAGACAGCATGTCTATTATTCCTGCCCAGGGCCAGGGGGAACTCATTGCCTTGAAAGGAAGGGCACAAACCTGTCTGGCTTTACCATCTGCTGAGTGTAGAGCACTAGGGCCTTGAGTGAACATAGGTTTTAGCCAGGTAGTAGCTATAATGAGCTATGGGTGAGACCCAGTGTCGTGCTGACTTCCAGTCTGATTCAGTACAGTCTGAGTGGTGGTGGCCATAGGGATGACTGCATAACCACATCCCCATTCCAGGTGGCTCAGCATAGAAATAGACTCCATTTGTATGGGAGAAAATAAGGGAAAAGAACGAGGTTCTCTGACTGGTAATAAAGAGAATTCTTCCAGAATTTATCCAAGACCATCAATGTGGTACTCTAGAAGCCTATAAAACCACAGCATTATTGGGCTTGGGGTTCAAGTCCCAGCGAATACCTGTAAAGTCTTCCCAAAAAGGACAGGTACAAACAAGCCCAGAGTGCAAAGACCAAAATATAAATCTAACTAATCAATGCCCATATACTGCCAAGCATCTACAAGCAGCAAGACCATCCAGGAAAACATGACCTTACCAAATGAACTAAATAAATAAGGAGCCAGGAACCCATTCTGGAGAAGCAGAGACAGATATGCAGGCTTTCAGACAGATAATTCAAAATAGCTGTGTTGAAGAAACTCAATGAAACTAAAGATAACAAAGAGAAGGAATTTAGAATTCTATCTGATAACTTTAATAAAGAGATTAAAATAAAAAGAATCAAGTAGAAATTCTAGAGTTGAAAAATGCAATGGACATATTGAAGAAAGCATGACAGTATCTTAATAGAAGAACTAATCAAGGAGTGAAAATAATTTGTGAGCTTGAAGACAGGCTATTTGAAAATATGCAGAGACAAAATTTAAAAAAATAAATAAAGCATGACTACAAGTCCTAGAATATAGACTAAGAGGGGCAAATCTAAGAGCTACTGATCTTGAATAGAAAGTAGAG